AGTCGCGGTACCGGTCCCGGTCCCGCCCGAAGCAGCGGTCGTCCCGGTCTGGGGGGCAGGGAATAGCCCCCGGGGGGAACAGAGAGAGACAAGAGTCATGGATGGTTCTTGTTGGAAGTGAACTTGAGGATCATGGAGCCCACCCATCAACCCAGCCCTGCCAAGGCCACCACTGCCCCACGTCCCTCAGCACCATCTCCAGGGCTTGGAAACCCCTCCAGGGATGGGGACTCTGGGCAGCCTGGGCCAGGGCCTGGCACCCCTTGCCAGGAATTGTTCCCAAGATCCAACCTCAACCTCCCCTGGGCAACTCGAGGCCAGTTCCTCTGGTCCCATCACTTGTTCCTGGGGAGCAGAGCCCAACCCCCCTGGCTCCAACCTCCTCTCAAGCAGGTGCAGAGCCAGGTCTCCCCTCAGCCTCCTTTTCTCCAGGCTGGACACCCCCAGCTCCCTCATCTGCCCCTCACAACTTCTCCAGCCCCTCCTCCCTGTGCTCCAGAGCCCTCCCCAGCCCAAAGCTCCCTGCTCTACCTCAGCAGAAACTACAAGTGCTCTGAGAAGCCCACGTGTGAGTCAACGGGCATGACAGGAGCACAGGGCATGGCAGGACCCACCACAGCAGCCTGGAGAATGTGCCAGCATGGAATACAACCCTCCAGCTGGGATCAAAGCCCCTGCCCAGCCCACAGTGGGGCAGAGCTGTCTGGGTGGTGACAGGAGCCACCTGTCCCTCTGCAGCCACACCGGTCACCAAGGGGAACAGGGAGCCAGGAGACTCACCTTTATCCTGAGCTTGATCAGCAACATCCACCCGTATCCTTCTGTTCCCTAGGGACTAAAACCAACAGGAAATCACCCCCTGGCCTGGAGGGGGCAAGTGGAGCTGATCCCCAGTCCCTGAGCTGGCACCCAAGACAACCCAGTAGCCTTCAAAAGCCCTTAAAAAGCCTTTAAAAGCATTTTTTTCCCCCATTTAAGCCTTTCCCAAGCAAGAACACCCATCGCTCCACGTGAAGAGGCTTCTCAGGAAGGTGTGGGGGGGCAGGGGGGCTGCACCCCTCAGGAACACTCACCTCCTCATTGAGGCTCAAGGCCTGGAACAGGGAGTCGATGTCCTCAACCTCGGCGTAGCCGAAGCCTTTCAAGCGCTCGGGGTTGGTGGGTTCGCGCGGGAGGCGGACGGCACTGATCTGCGGGCGGGGGGGGGCTCGTTAGGGCCTCGCTAACGAGGCGAGGGAGGCTGCAGGAGAGCGGGCTGCTCCTCTGAGGCACCCCATGGATCCCCCCCCAAGGAGGAAGAGGAGGGAGGGTCACATCCCTCTCCCCCTCTTCCCACCCCAAGTGCCACCAATGTGGAGTTGGGGGGAATTTGGGACCGTGGGAGGTTCCTGGCTGAGGATCCTTGGGAGGTGAAGTGGGAACTGCTCGAAGGGCCAGGAGAGCCCTGCTGCTCCAGCCCCCCAGGATCAGGCTCCAGTCCCACCAAGACCAGGCTCCAGCCCCCCCAAATAAGGCTCCAGCTCCCCAGGATCAGGCTCCAGCCCTCCCCAAGAACAGGCTCCAGGCCCCCAGGATCAGGTTCCAGCTCCCCAGGATCAGGCTCCAGCCCACAGACCAGGCTCCAGTCCCCAGCAGGAGCTGTCCTGATGCATCCCAGAGGAAAAACCTGGCTGAAAACCACCATGGGGTCTGTTCCAGTAGTATCAGCACCCAGGACAGGTCTGGGGGCTGCTCACTGGTTCTCCTGGGACCTCTGTCAGCTCTTCCACATCAACCCAAAGCCCCCAGCATCACCCCCTGCCCCTCCCGTGGCACCAAACCCCTCCCAGATGAATTCTGCTCCCCAGACCACCCCTAGGAAGCAGCAGCAGCCGGAGCAGCTCGTTAGGTACTAGGAAAGGAAAGGCGCCAAATGCCTTTGGAGGAGCCCAGCACTGAAAGCAGCACCAGGAGGGGTGGGGAGGAAGGATCAGGGAGGCCTAGAGCCCCCCAGCTCTGGAGACAGGCTGGAAGAGCTGGGGATGCTCAGCCTAGAGAGAAGGCTCTGGGAGACCTGAAGTATCCCCAGATACCTCCAGAGACCTCCAGGAATGCTGCAGATGGACTTCAGACAAGGACATGGAGCGACAGGTCAAGAGGGAATGGTATTAAAATTCAAAAAGGTGGATTTGGATTGGATATTAGGATGCAATTCAAACAAGAATTTGAGGGTGGTGAGACCCTGGGAGAGGTTTCCTGGACAAGTTGTGGATGCTGGAAGTGTCCAGGGGCAGGTTGGATGGGGCTTGGAGCACCCTGGGCTGGTGGGAGGTGTCCCTGCCCATGCAGGGGGTGGGACTGGGTGGGTTTTAAGGTCCCTCCAACCCAAGCCAGTCTGGGATTGGCTTCACAAGTGTTGGGTGTGGAGAATTGGCCTCTGGGCTCCCTCCTCCTCCTCCCCCAGGCCTGGACTCTTGGAGGAGCCTCAGCAGGTCCCACGGGTGATGAAAACCAGCTGGAAAGCAAAGCCCAGGGGACCAGTGTGGCCCTTCCTGCTGCCATTCGCACACAGAGAATACTGGGCTCTGGCTACACTTCCAGGCTGATATTCCAGGTGGGAAGCAGCCATGGTCCCATCATCACCCTTCCCACCTCCCCCCTGAACCACCCCAGGGCTCCAACACGCTCCAAGGACAGTATCATTGTGGTGGCAGCTGCAGGTTACGCAGGAGAACCTCCAGCTCTTGCCCACATTTCCTGAGGCAGCTGCCTCTGGAAAACCCCTGGAGAGACCAGGAAACAGCTCAGGCCAAAGTAGAGCCCAACCCTAGAACCTCCAGGAGCTGGAGCAGGTGGCAGCCACCAAAAATGGGGGAAGAAATGGTTTATTTGAGAATTAAGTTTTCACCAAGTGGAGACTGGGGGTGGGGGGGGGACGTGACCTTCCCATGGATGTCACTACCCACCAACTCCTCCCCCTGGGGGGGGCTGGGTGGACTCCTGGCACAGGATCCACATCCCAGTCCCCTGGGATGCAGCCCACCCATCACTCTCCAAATGCTCCAAAGGGCTCCAGCTCCATCCCAAATGTGGCTGGAACACCAGGAACAGCCGTTGCCTTGGAGGAAAGAACTGGCCCAGAGCAGGGATCCGCCCCGGGATCTACCCCAACACTGGGTTGAGAGGAACCTCCTGAGGTTCCTCAAGGTCAAGGGCAGGTCCTGCAGCTGGGGAGGAACAAGCCCAGGGAGCAGCACAGGGTGGGAGGGACCTGCTGGAGAGCAGCTCTGGGGACAAGGACCTGGGGGTCCTGGTGGCCAACAGGGTGACCATGAGGCAGCAACGGGCCCTGGTGGCCAAGGAGGCCCATGGGCTCCTGGGGGGCATCAGGAAGAGTGTGGGCAGCAGGTCAGGGAGGTTCTCCTGCCCCTCTGCTCTGCCCTGGGGGGGCATCTATGGAGAACTGGGCCCAGGTCTGGGCTGCCCAGGTCAGGAAGGACAAGGAGCTGCTGGGGAGGGGACAGCAAAGAGCCAGGGAGATGGGGAGGGGGTAAGAACATCCCTGTGGTGAGGAAAGGCTGAGGGACCTGGGGCAGTTCAGCTGCAGAGGAGCAGACTGAGGGGGGGTCTCCTCAGGACCTTCAGAGGGGTCAGGAGGGTGGGACCAGGCTCTTCTCAGCAGTGCCCAGGGACAAGGGGCAGTGGGACAACCTGGAGCACGGGAGGTTCCAGCTGAGCATGAGCAGGAACCTGTTGCTGTGAGGGTGGCAGAGCCCTGGGCCAGGCTGCCCAGAGAGGTGGTGGATTCTCCTTCTCTGGAGCCATCCCAGCCCCACCTGGATTCTGTGGGTCCTGCTGGAGGTGACCCTGCTGTGCTGGGGGTGGCACTGGGTGACCCAGAGGTCCCTGCCAGCCTTCCCTGCTGTTACTCTGTCCTCAGGTTCCCTGTGTCACTCCAGACAGGCCCCATCCTGTCCCCAGTCCCACTGTCCCCAAGGTGCCTCCAGATGCTGCTCCTGTCCCCAGCAGGGTCAAACCCCAGGGCTGAGCTGGGCCCTGCTATGGGTACCAGGCCTGGCTCCCACCCCCAACTGGTTTGTATTGGTCCCTACTGGTTTTGATCCTGTAGTACGCTGGTTTGTACTGGTTTGCATTGGTCCTTTCCTGTTTTAACACCACTGCGCTGGTTTGTAGTGGTCTGTGCTGATCCACACCTGTTCTGATGCTGTAGCACACTGGTTTGTACTGGTCCCTACTAGTTTTGATGCTGCAGCACACTGGTCTTTATTGGTTTGTACTGGTCCCTACTGGTTTTGATGCTGTAGCACACTGGTCTGTACTGGGGTGGCCCTGGGTGACCTCCAGAGCTCCCTTCCAGCCCTGCTCCTCTGGGACACCCCCGGCTGTTGGGAGCTGCCCCTCCCACCCAGCTCGGCTGGCCTCTGAAGAAATCCTTGATGGAATCCTCGGTGACGTCGTAGGGCAGGTTTCCCACGAATGCCGTGTAGGGGGGGCACTTGGGCAGGCGGCTGCGGTCGATGTTGGGCTCCCGCGCGGCGCGGGGGGCGGTGGGCAGCAGGGAGCGGTCGATCGGGGGGGCCCGGTACACGTCGTCATCATTACTGTGCCAGGTGGTGGAAACTGCCAGGGGGAAAATCCAGCAAATCACACACAAACCCTTCCTGCTGCTCCTGGAACCCCCAAAATCCTCCCCTCCTGGCCGAGAGCCCCGGAGCAGCTGCAGGAACTGTGGCAGGAGGAGCCCCCCAGGGGGGTAGCACCGAAGCCTTCCCGGGATTAATCCCTGTGGGAATCGCAGCCCGGCTCCTGGGGAAACTCCATGGGCTCCAAATGGATGTTCCCAAAGGGGGACTCGGGTGCCAGGGCTGAGCTGGAGGTCACTGTGTTCACTGGGACACTCCCAGGATCCAGGGAAGACCCCCCACCCTCTAGTGATGCTGCGAAAAAGATCTGATTTTATAGAATAAATATTAAAACCCTTGTTTATTAACGTTCACAATCCATTTAGTAATACTATTCAATACTTCTAGAAATATTATATTTATTTTAAGCTCTTCATCCCATTTCTGTCCCCACGTGGGTGCAAACCTGCCCACCCTCTCTGTCCCCCTCAGGCTAATGAGCCCCCACTTCACTGTGGGGTCTTAAGTACCCCCCAAGAAAAGAGCCACCCAGGACATGTCACCATGTCCAGGAGCATCACTCCAGGTCAGGTCCCTGCTTGGGGACACATACACCCCCCAACGTGTCCCACCCAGTTTTCCCAGGGAGGGGAGCACTGCCCCGTGCCGGGGGTGGCTCCGGGGTGGCCGTACCGTCACCTTCCAGGTCATCTGTCTCGTCGGCCCAGCTGACAGGTTTGGGGATGTAGGTGGGGCCCCCTCCGCCGCCCCCGTCCTCAGCCAGGAAGTCCGTCAGGGTGAGGGTCTTCCCCTTCTTATTCTTCTTCTTGGCTACGGCTGTGGGGGGGGGGGGAGAGGAGTGAGTGAGGTGGGGAGGGGTCTGGGCACCCCATCCATCACCACCCCATCTGGGGTTATTCCCAACGGGATAACGGCCTCAAATCCAGCACAGGTGAGGAATGGGCTCAGGCTTCACATAGTGGGTGGGTCAGAAGCACCGCCCCCCCACCCAGAGCTGGCTATTTTGGGGGAGAAGCCCCCCCCGTGACCACCCAGCCCACCAGCATGAGCTGCAGCTTCCGGGACCCTCCCCGGAGCCAGTGACCAACCAGCTCTGGATCCTCGGGCTGCGAGTGGCCAGAGGGTGTTGATCTGTGGGGGTTTCACCATCTCCCGACACTCGCTGTGTCGCGACAGGCGGCGACACCCGAGGGGGCCGGGCCGCGCTCGGGAGGGCGGGGCAGGATGCAGTTGGCAGAATCCAGAAGGTTTTTTTTCCTTGCAGAAGGAATTGCTGCCCCCCCGCGGCACGGCCGGACCGAGCAAGGGGCTGGCAGGGCCTTCACCTCCTGAAACAGCCCCTGCACCCCAAAACCGGCCCCTTCAGCCCCAAAACCAACACCTTCAGCCCCAGACATGGCTCCTTCAGCCCCAAAACCCAACACTTTCAGCCCCATAAACCAACACCTTCACCCCCAAAAACCTGGCACCATCAGCCCAAGAACCCAGTCCCTTCACCCCCAAAAACCTGGCACCTTCACCCCAGACTAGGCCCCTTCAGCCCCAAAACCCAACAACACTTTCACCCACTTAAATGGCAACTTCCCCTCCAAAGAAGACACCCCATAAACCTGCACATTCAATCCCAAAACCAGTGCTTTCACCCCTAAAACTGCATCTTCACCCTCTAAAATTGCACATGCCCCAAAAAAGTTGTCTTCACCTCCTAGGCAGCACTTTTGCCCCCCAAAATGGCAACTTCCCCTCCCAAACTGGCACATTTTCCTCCAGAAAGAGCACCTTTGCCCCTAAAAGCAGCACATTTGCCCCCCCAAATTGGCATCTTCACCCCTAACACCTCCCTGGGCAGCATGGGGAGGGGAAACTCAGCCCCCCAGCACCCTGGGACCCCCCCTTTCCAGGGGCCCCACAGCCACCCCCCATCATGAGAAGGCCCCACTGGTGGCTGGAAATGAACAACCAGCTAATTAATTTGCTCCACAACATGCCTGGACCTTCATTAGGAAGAACTAACAAACCTCGGGAGCTGGGATGGTCCTGATTCCAGCTGTGGGTCGGGAACAGGGGGAACTGAGGGCTGAGGTGGAAGGTGGCTGCTTGTTACTGGCTCTTAATGAGCCCCCCCTCAGTCCTGAGGTGCCATGGACCCCCAGTGCCGGGCATGGGGCTCTCCCGTGGGAATTCCCACACCGACATCCAGGGAAGGACAACCTGCCCCTTCCCGCTGGGAAATGAGCAGCTCAGGGTGCAATCAAGAGCCCATGGGCAATGCTGGATCCCTGGCCTGCTTCCCACCCCTCCAGACCCTGTGTCTGGGGGTTCCCTGTCACCCCAGGGGCTCCCCAGGGAATGCTGGGCGCTTCCAGCCACGCTCTGGAAAAGCTGAGGGATGTGGAACAGAGGGGACATAGGCAGCAGCTCCGGGGTCACCCCTGTCCCTCAGTGTCTCCTCACGGTCACTGCAGCAGCCCCTGCTCTTCCTCCAGCATCTCCAAACACCTCCTGCTCCCATGGGAATCCCTTGGGACTGCAGGTCACTGGAAATGCTTCCCCTGGAGCCCAAACACTCTTTGAAGGGGGGAGAGGGTGGGATACCCTCCAGCTCTCCCCTGGGGCAGGGATAATGGTTCTGGACACCCCTGGGAGAGCTGCGGCACCTGGAAAACCTCCACTCCCCTGAGGCTGCCCGGCCTCGGGGGGTGACCCCTCTGTGGCCCCCCCGGATGCTGGGGACAGCAAAGCTGTTCTGCTCCATCCCAGGGCCCAGCTGGAGCTGCGTTTGTGGAGGAGAAACTCCTGGAAGGGTGACAGCAGCACCGGGAACAACCACAATGCCAGGGACGGGCACTGATCCCGAGGAAAGGGGCTCGGGCTGTGGGGGGAGGGGGCCTGTCTGTGTGTCCCCCCCACCAAATGACACCAGAGCCGCTCCCAAGGGTGACAGGTCCTGTCGGGATAACCCTGTCGGGATAACTACATCGCTCCCTCTGACATCACCTCGGGAGGGGGGAAACCCCCCACCCGGGCTAAGTCCCCCCCTT